ATGTACATGCATGTTAGCATGTAGTAACCCTTGCTTGCTTGTTGTAGATGAGACGCCCTCGTGCACGTGCATGGGCATCAGTTTCGACGTCCAGTGGCCAGCCTCCAAGCTCCATGCGTGTCTGGTGCGGCACGACGCTTCATGTACGGCCAATGATGGACGACCTCAGGTGGCGACATCACCTCGTCTCTCACAGAGTCGAACGTCTTCATGCATCCCCCTCGTGTTGACCGGTCATGGAATCACCGGTCAGGTTGATGGTCGGAGGCATCATCGATGAAGCTAGATGCATCTACTCCCTTGGTCTTCGATTCCCAGCCAGCCGGCCAACGGACTTGGAGCGTGGACGCCGTGGAGAATCAGTGGCGTCTCCTTCGCGCGGAGCTCCCTTGTCGAGAAGTGCAGCAACACAACAGCCTCCGTGTACTCCTCCTCCAGGATGCATCCAATGGCCGCCACGACGTCGTTCGTCGGTCTCCTCTGAGCAGACGTGGGGAGCGTCTTGCCCGCCCCTGGTGCGTATTTGCATCTTGGGCGCTCGTGGATCAGCCGCCCGTTGGCTTGCGCGGATGTGGGGCGGACCAACCCAACGCACAGGCTGCCTGACGTCCTCTTGCAGCTCACGGGATATATGCGTCTCCTCCGCGCAGGGCTGGGATCCTTCGTCGAGATGCATGGGAAGCTGGGAACGCAACTATGACTGGCGACGGCTTCGATCTAATCTCCTGACGCGCGGGGTGCACGTCGATAGCTCCTGCCTGGCATTGATGGAGTCCTTGATGGGGCTGCTCCTCTTCTCATGGCACAGCAGGCTGCAGACGACGCTGCTGCCGACGCACCGCTGGCTCGCTCCTTCCATCAGCGGTGCCCAGCAGATGGGCACCCTTGGCCTCTCCTCTCCGTCCGGCAGGACGCATGTGTCGTGCCTTTGGTGATTAGTGGGGGGGTCGATGGAGCATGTGTGTCACGGTGGTGTGTCACTCGACAACAGCAGCACGCAACGCCTCCTACGCCATTTCCTTCGAGATGGCAGCTCCTCATCATGAGGACGTCCATGATGATGCGAAAGTCAGCCCGCCGGTCGATGAAGTTCGTTCTCACAAGGGCGGCGCTGGCTCCCGCTGTGCGTTCGTCTTTGTTTGTGTGCAGCTGCAAGCAGAGAGAGGGGGGACAATTATTGTGAGAGAAAAACACTGTTTGTTTGGCTGAAATTAGTTGAAAAATACTGTTCCGACTGAATTGTTGTGAAAAAAATACTGTTTTGGCTGAAAAAATAAGTTGAATAAGCCAGATTATAAGGTAAGCCGAACAGAGCCTATGAGCCACGCCTAACCGTCGCCGGCTTGCTTGCTTCACGTCTCCCTGCTCTTGTTTGCCTGTAGTAGTCGTGTGCATGAACATGCATGCACGTATCCTAGCTTTGGGCACGTGAACGCATGCAAATGCACAAGCACTTGGACCTTCACCTTTTTGCATGGTATCCAGTGATTGGCCTCAGCATCATGTCGCACCGTCATGTTGTCCATTTAGCGCCTCCGACCGGCTGCAGGCGAGCATGGACTAGAGCCGCTGCCATGCGGGTTCTTGCTGTAGGACGTACTCTAGCTCGGTGCCATTGGCTCATCACCAATGTGGAGGAAACTCACCATCCCATGGTCTTGCTTGCGACGTAGGGACATGTCGGGCAGCCTCGATAGAGGCGCGATGCATGCGCCAAGGTGCGTCCTTGTGTCGGCTTGATGGAGTTGCCCCCAGCGACTAATGAGGGGCTCGGTGCTATGAGTCCTGACTGGGGACTGTCGACGGCACTCGTCTAGTCGCCGGTGTAGATGTGCACCAACCAGTGGTGTTGCCACCCTGTGGAGCCGACTTCAGTGGCGTCAGGACCCTCCTGCTTGCTACGCCAAAGGAGCGCCAAGGCGTTCTCGTCGTGGTTGCCTTGTCACAACAAGCAACAAAAGCCTTCACCATGAGCCATAGCCTTGTCGATGATGTGTGGGCGCCTCGATGCAAACTACATCACCTGTGATGGGAACTCCATCACCAAGGGAAAGAAAGGGCCTCCGTTTGATGCCACCTCTACCCTTCTGAAACTGGCGTACCTATCTTCGGCCCTGCGTAAAGCACCAGAAAAAAAAAATAAAGTGGCCCAAAATAAGGACCACCTTTGGGCTATCATTAGGAGCCTTAAACCAAGAATGGCATCCAAAATAGCACCATCGTGACCACCACTTGTATAACGGGGAAGACATGAGCGTGAAGGCGACGACTATTGTTGCGCAGCAGAGATGGGAGGAGAACCATGTCTCACTCAGCGTGCCAATTTGTTTGCACAGAAAAAATCCGAGGAGGATCTTTCTATGCATAAAAATAATAATTTATGCGGCCGTGCCAGTGTATCAAAGTACACAACAAAATAAAAGGAGGAACACAAACTTTATTTATATTTATAAAAAGTACAAATACAGGTTCCCAGTGTACATGTGCGCTCCACAAGTAGCATGCCGACGATCTGACTGGGACGATGTGTCGATGTGGTCCTCGTGATTCCTGTGACCTCTGAGGCGCGAACCATCCGATCCGAACGTCCGGACTCATCGCGCCGAACAGGAAGCGCGGGAAGCGCATGCGGGCGGGAGCCGAGCGCGGGAGTATTTCCGAGCAGCCCGATCCCAGATACGTGTACTGTATATGTTAGCTTCTCTTCTAGTTTCCTTTTTCTCCTATATCTTCTTACTTATTTTCTTTCCTTTTTCTTTCCTTTTCCTTTCTTTTCTTTTCTATTCTTTTTTCTTTTTCTTTTCGTACTTCATTGTTTGTTTATATTTTCTTTTTTTCCTTATTTCATTTTCTTTTCTTTTTCTTTTTTATTTTCTTTCTTAATTTAGTAAATTTTATTTTTGTTTTTGTTTATGTTTCATGTGATTTTCTTATCTTTTCGTTTTTCTTTTCTTGCTTTATTTTTGTTTATATTTATTTTATTGTTTTTGCGGTCTGCCTTTAGGTACGTTAGTTTTTTTTCTTATTCTTCTCATTTTTTCTTTTCTTTTCTTTCTTTTTCCTTTTCATCCTTCATTTTTTATTTCGTGAAACCTGATGCTGTAATCGAAATTTAATTTGAATTTTTAGATTAGCAGTTATGACTTTTTTTAATTCGTTAAAACTCGTTTGCATATGTGAGCTCAGAGCTGACGTGGGCATGGGCCAGCATGCAGGCATCTGCGCGCGCTTCCCAGCCTCTGCAAAAATTTTACGTGGGAAACCTTCCGCCTGGCGGACGGATGTTACCGTACTATGCGCGGACGCTAGCACCCCCTCGGGAAGTTAATTACCCCTGGGAGTCAAGCTCGGCGTCGCAGAAGGTGCGTCGCTCGCTCGACGGCGGGGCGCCGTGCGGCTGCCTCCCCGCCGAGCCTCTTGATCTGTACGTCGGTGTAGTACAGGAGCACCTGGTCACTTTCTCGCGTGCACAGCAGGTGTGCCCCGCCTAGTAGTAGCCTTCATGCACGCTCAGGAGCCATGTCATAGGCTCGGCCTCCGGTACGGCCTCCAATCTTCTTCAAGCCCGGCAGCCACGCATGTGCACCACGGTCGCCGGTAGATCGATCTCGCCCTGTGGCACCGCCTCGCCTTGGGCAGCAGCACGGCTTCTTGCATCTCTCGGCACGAGCACGACAGCCATGGAAACACACGGTCGGTGCATATGCATATGTAGTCATCTGTAAGATGCAAACAAGAGTGACGAAGGAAAAGGATCAACCTGCGCCGACGGTACGGTGGCAGTATCAGGACGTGGCTTCCGCTCTCTGCGGCCTCCTGCACATGCGTGCGTCCGGTGGTCAGCGCCGATACGGGGCTGGAGGGTGCCTCTTCATCCCGTGTGGCGCGGTGATCGACTCCTTGTCGCCGTCCAGTTGCGGCCGCCTCCTTACTTTGCTCGGCTCAGCAGATGGACTCCGGTGTGAGCGCTCACAGGCCAGCTGCCTGGTGGTCAGCGGCGGCGTTGCTATCCGCGCTCCGTCCGTGCCCGAGGATGACGGAGCTCCATAGACGTGTCTGCATACAGCGGCCTGATCTCCATCTCCGCCGCCGTGCGCGCGTATCTCATCTGTGATGGATGGCGCCGTGGCGGCGATCAGCCTCCTCTGTCCGGCGGCGCGTACCTGGGTACGTCTGCCCTCCTCTCGGGCGTCATCATCGATCCGTAGCGGCGGCTGCCTCCCTTCTCTTCCTCGCGATGTGAGATAGGGTCGGCTAGCTTCCCTACCGCTGATCTGTGGGCCTGGCTTCGCCATGTATGTAGCTGCGTGCTACACGCCGGGTTGCTGTCCCGCTGCAAGTATATGTATGTATTTATACTTGTATTGTACGTATTGGAGAAAGAGCGAAGATGCGCAGATACGTTTAGCCTGTTCGGCTGGGGCTGAAACGATCGTGAATTATTACTGCTGGCTGGTTTAATATAAGAGAAAAATACTATTTTGTTAAAAATTTAGGATCGTTTACGACCCAGCGAACATGCTCATCTTCTTTATATTCTTGCCCGACAAAGTTAATTCTGCCCTGCAGGGCATGTGCTCTCAGACATGCATCCGTTGGATCACTTACCTCGAGATATGTGCTACTTTTCCTCCAACTGCAATACAGATAGATAAAATCTGAATACAGGTGGTATACGTATATACTGTGGGTCCACACAAAACGTGAGGGGCTCTATGATTTGGCCTGCCGGGCTCCCATTTGGTTTTTTTTATTATTTCCTTTTTGTTTCCTCTTCCTTCAGTCCCCAACAAGGCGACAGGCGACAGGGCCTCCGTCGCCGGTTCTGCCGCCGCCTCCTCCTCCAGCTCGTCGGCACGCCGTAGCAGCTACCTCCAGCTCGCAGCCAAGCCGCATTCATCCCTCTACCTCACTGCGCTGCAGCATCAGCACACGGTGGCGGCTCCGACGGTGACCTAGAGGAGTCGCTCCGCCGCACGGCGCATGGACAGGAAAGCGCCATGGAGCCAAGGCGCCGCACCGCTGACATTCGCTCCGGCCGCTGGCCTGAATCTGCTGGTTTTTAATCTCTTGGCCTGAATCCTTTTCCCTACTGCTCATGCCCAGATCTGCCCTCAGGTACAGGTTTGTTTAAAATTCGATTCTATTAATACTGATATCTATGATACAAATCAGGTTTAGGATCTTGCTTCCTTGGTCCTCATAGCTTTGCTACAGCTTTTCTTTCAAAAGAAACTTGGTACAGCTGATTTCTGTCTGTTGGTGTCAATGCTATCATGTTGAACTTGTCATTTTTTAATCTCCTGGCGACTGACCTAGTGTCCTGAATCTGCTGGTTTGTACCACTAGTAGTTTTGAATTCTCTACATGTCAATGTTAGATCCCCTACGAGCAAACGTAAAAATCTATGCACTAGTCTTTGGTTCAAGTTCCGATATTAATATTTGGTACTCTTATTGTGCTAGGTTTTGGTTCAATGGAGCCCTCCGGTTTTGGTGGCATCGGAGAATATCTCCAGGAGCAAGGAGAATGCACTGGATCTATGACATGGTTTGATGTGTCATCCTCGTGCTTAGCTCTGATGGCGAGTGTTATTCCACAAGATGGACTCACCCAACACAGGTTTGAATCTTTGTGACATAATGCAGCTTTCTTTTTTCTGTTATGCTAGTTTTATTTATTTTTTTAGTTTGACAGCATGTTTTATTTTATTACTAGTTTGTAGCATGCTTACATCTATAACACTCTAGATAACTTGTTTATTCTTAGTTTTGGCATTGTATGCCTTCATGGGTAGAACCATGTATATATTTTTTTTTTCAAAATGTCAAACAAGTTGAATCAATTTGCAGTTCTTTGGCATCTTCGTACAACCACGTCTCTTCTAGCAATCAATATCAGTATTTTACCCCATCAACCAATTCTAATGTTGACCAGTCATTTTCCATGGACTGCAGTAGGTAATTTTTTTCCTCATTTTTTCACTGCTTAATGCCAATAGTGTCACAGATTAAGTGATTAACTAAATTTTATGCTTAAACAAACTGTTGCAGAAAATATGTAGAGGTACGACCTGCTAATGAGTCTGATACTCATCTTGAAAAGCTGCCAATGCAGCACTTCGAGCAACAAATAGCAAGTGGTTACTCTTCAAGTGAGGATTACCAGCGTGAAAGGTTAGTTTTCTAACGATGGGGTCCTTTCAATTCTTTTTTCTGCAATTCATTAATGCAGTTAATGTTGCCTAAACTAGAGCCTTTTTTAAGTGCGATCGGACGATGCTGAAATACAAAACTTAATGTGTGTCCAGAGCCTCTCTCTGTCAGAAAACTAGAGCCTCTCTCTGTCAGAAAAAAAGAAGGCTTCAATCAAAACATATGTATCAGTTGAGGGTCAATGTGTACCTCACTATACTAATTTTCCAGAAAGATCGTTAAAGTGAGACGCAACTAGAGCTTAGTACTAACTATACAAGTAACAATGTTTTCCTGGTGCTGGAGAGACAGAGCTTAGTACCTCAGTTCCAATGTGGAGACAACTGGCCAGGCAAGCTAATCGGCAAACGTTCCTTGTGAATTTGAATTGAACTAGATTATAACAGACAAGGCAGTGAGCTCCCAGCCATGCATTTTTTTTTAATAAAAATGAATGCATTTTGAGATGTCCCATTCAAATGGGATAGTAAAACCTATCCGGCCAATGGTTTACGAACATGCAATTTATGCACTACTTATTGTATTTAATTCGATTGTGTTAATAATATATATTCAGCAGTAAATTTATGAGCAGTATATATTTATCTTCACCAGTTTTGCCGAGGACTACTCCGGCGATGAATCTGATGCTGTTCCTGAGAATCAGTCATTTGAGCATCAAATAGCAGGCGAATACTCTTCTTGTGAAGATGATACATGTCCAAGGTTAGTGTTTTAAAAATATTTCATGGAATACTTGGCCCTGCAACTTTGATTTTGACATTGATTAGTTTACTTTATTGCACAATATCATGTGAAAATATTCTGGATGTATGCTTCCTGAGGCTTAGATTTTTTCCATTCGTGGTTCTTTGGATTAAATTGTTCAAAAATGAGGTTGCAAACAATCTGTTATCTCACTGTCATTGCCTCAGTGGCATTGTGTTCCATATCTCAAATAAAAAGAACTAATATTTAAAAAGTGTTTATAACTTGATGGATCCACAAATAAAAGCACTAATATTTAAAACAAAGCTTTCACAGAATCCACGGGGATATGTTAGTTGCTGGTTTGGAAGAGGATAACAACAATCAATATTACGGCAATAAATCGGATACTGTGTGTTTGAACCAACCAATACAGGACAATGAGCTCGATGCCTCTGCTGAAGATGGACCGTGTAAACCGTAAGTACTTGGCACTATTATGTAATAATACTATTTTACCTTGATGCCTCTACTGAATTGATTTGTTTAATGCATTTTTTGTTATTGATTTATATTTTTGTAAACCATATGAAGATAAATGGAACTGTACACTTTTAGAATTACATCTCTTTTGGATGATGGTTAGTCAATATAGATTTGTTGCATGAAAGTGTCTTGGAATCTAAACATATTTATAAATGTCTATTCTTATTTGGTTATATCCCTTGAAATCTAAGCATATTTACCTTGAGCTGACACAATCATTTACTGAAGTGAACAATTTATTGAATTCTTTAGCATTAGATGTTATTTTTTGTTTCATATATGGTTTGTTTTACAAAATGTAGGATAGTTAGGTGGGGGACGACAAGTCCATTAGCACACAATGAAAGGATTATGGGTGCTGTAGAAGAAGCAATGAGGAAGTCCAACGATGGCACAAAAGAACATATGTTCCTGCCCAAAGTTGGTGCTGTCTTCCCATCACTAGGAGATGCATACCAGTTCTACAATCTTTACTCATGGGAAGTAGGTTTCAGCATACGGAAAGGTACAAACCAAAATGGAAACAAAAAAGCTGATGGGACAAAGGATAGGAATATGCAGGAGTACAGATGCCAAAGAGCGGTAAGAGATTTCTTTTGCTCCCATCTAGATAAGAGATATGTAGATAATTGCTTCACCGTCATATGGAACTGAAATTACTCTTTCCACATTCTTTTTTAGGGGAAACCAGGTTCTGGAACGAAATTTTCAACAACAATGTGTGTTTGCCCGGCTCGTCTTAGGTTGCTTCGGAACAAGAATAATGAATATTATGTTTCCATATTTGTTGCAGAGCACAACCATGAATTGGTTGAGAGTTGTGGAGAGAAACGACATCTTAAGTCACATCAGAGCATTGATCAGGCTACCAAGGACATGGTGCGTTGTCTGCGTGAGAACAACGTCAGTCTGAGCAAAGTAAACTGCATCATGGGTAGCATGTCTGGGTCTATGAATAACCTTACTTTCAGCAAGAAGCGTCTGAAAACTGTGTGCTCAGAAATTGCTGCAGACGTAATTGCTGATGATATTCAGAAGACTATGTTATCTTTCATGAAGATGCGCGATGAGGATCCAAACTTTGTATATTCTTTCCAGATGGACAAGGACTGTAGAGGATCACTTCCTTGATGTGGAGCAATGGAAATAGCAGGAGGATGTATAGTCATTTTGGGGATGTTGTTACATTTGACACCACATATAAGACTAATATATATAATATGCCTTTTGGAATGTTTGTTGGGGTCAACAACCATTTTCAGAGTGTTATATATGCTGGAGTTCTGTTGACACGTGAAACTACTGAAAGCTTTGCTTGGGCTTTCAAGACATTTGTTGAAATGATGGGAGGAAAAGCACCAGCTACAATGTTGACTGGTATGTACCTTTTTTACTTTTGAATTAATCTCAATATGTTATTTATTGCATTCTTTGACATATGTGTGAACATAATGTTCAGACCAAGCTGCAGCTATGGGAGCAGCGCTACGGCAAGTGCTCAAAAACACAAAACACCGTTGGTGCAAGTGGCATGTCCTTAAGAAGCTTGTTGAGATGCTGGGACACATGTTCAATAACCACAAAGAATTTTATGATGACTTCAACAAGGTGGTGAACCATATGCTGTCAGAGCAAGAATTTGAGGATTCATGGGCAGCTATGGTTGCTAAATATGGTCTTTCTGGAAATCCAGAAATTACTAGGGCCTTTGAATCAAGGTCCATGTGGGCCAAAGCTTGGTTCAAAGATATTTTCTGTGCAAGAATGACTAGCACACAATGCAATGAATCTGCAAATAATGTTCTTAAGCATTTTGTCCCAAGGAACTCCCCACTGAATTTATTTGTGCAACAATATAACAAGCTTGTCACTGAGCAAGAGAAAGCAGATCATGAGGAAGAGAAGAACACCAAACAGGTTACTACTTGAAGGCTTTCAATTTTCAGTTTTGTATTTTATGTTGAAGCTAAGGTTAATCCCTTATATGTTTATTTGTGCAGCGCGAAATTCAACTGAAGTTTGGTTGGCCTATTGAGCGTCATGCAGCTAAGTTGTACACTAGGGCAGCATATCATCTATTCCTTGAAGAACTAGGTAGAAGTACTGCATACATAGTTGTGGATAGTAAGGAAGCAAGTGTTTACAAAGTTGTCCATGGTGAGGGTGAACGTAGGGAAAAGTGGTCAAAAGTTGATTTCAAGGTTTCAGTTGATGAAGAAGCTGGTTTATATGACTGCGAATGTGGTCTTTATAACCATTTTGGCATTCTTTGTTGCCATGCATTGCTTGTAAGTATCACAATTTTCACATTGTTGCTAGCACATCCACACTTTCATTACTTTGGCTATGGTTTATTTGATACGTTCTTTTGGTTGCAGGTTATGGTTCAGAAAGGAGTTCGTGAGATCCCTGCCATACACATCATGAATAGATGGACAAAATCTGCACGTTTCAAGGAGCCAACTCATCTCTTGCCAGCTGAGAAACCCAGTGGTCCAGTACAGTAAAAGGTTCTGAAGCGTAATATGCTAGATAGCACTCTCAGAGAAGTAGCGAAACTAGCTGATTCAGATTCGGAGAGCTTTGACTTTGCAATGAAACAGGCCACGAGTATCTTGAAAAAACTGCAAGAAAAAAGGGATGCTGTTAGGACTACCTGCCAGGTTGGGTATGAATCTAGTGGATCAGAAGGTTTCAGAGCAGGAACATCTGGGAGTGACGTCTTCTCCGATAGTGAGGGGAGACCTTTACAGATAGTTGATAGCAGAAGTGGTGTTGCTATCAATTTAAATTCAATCAAGCCTCCACTCTTGAACCGTACCATGGGCAGGCCTTCTAATGTGCGTCCTAAGGGCGAAGCAGAAGTCAGGATTAAAAGTGCGAAGATTCGTAAGAAGCGCACCAGATATCAAGCTTCAGGAGCCGTGAAACAATCACGGCACTGCAAAAAGTGTCGTAGCAATAACCATGATGCTAGGCGCTGCCCAAGAAACAATCCATTGAGTCCTGTTGGTGAAGAAAATGATATGTGCCCAAGAAACAATCCATTGAGTGCTGTTGGTGAAGAAAATGATATGGAGTGAGAATGAGGTAACTTAGTACTGTTATCAAGTTCTTCAACCTTTTTTTACAGCAGACTATGCTTGTAAGTCATCTCTAGGTATTATTCAGGTAATGTCCTATTGCCTTAGTTATAACTGAACTACAAAACACTCGATTGCCTAATTGCTTTGTCAATTATATTCGCAACATATTTTTGTAATGCTAAAGTCACTTGGAAATGGTGTACTGCTTTACTACCAGAATCGTTGTTTCAGATTTCTTTTGTTGACTGGACCACTCGGAATTTTTCCATGTGCTAACTATGCAATGAGATTTTCCATTTAAAAATTCATTAATTAAGTTATGCAATTGTTGTTTCAATTTTTTGTTGTTTCTAAACACTAGTACCTGTAGGTGTGTTGATTTGTGCTTGTTACTAATGTGTACACTACTTAGCTGCTCATCTGGTTCTCAAATAATTTGTTGGCTGATCATCAGGAAAAAATATTTTGCATCAAAGTTACTTAATACTACCTGATGTAGCTATTTTGTCTGACATAATGAAGGAGGTGTGCACATTTTGACTACAGAAAATGACATGTAAATTTGTGTTAAAAAAAAGTTGCATCTCCCAAAGTTAGGTTGGAGTGAAACTAGATTTATAAATTGTAAAATAAAATATTGTATGTTTTTGTAACTTTTTAGTGAAGTGCTGCACTAATCTACCTAAGATGTAATTGTTATGTTGGATTTTGAACTTTTTTTTCATAATGGTATCTATTTTTATTCATTGCATCATCTTCTTCAGTGTGCAGGTAGACTATGACTGTATGAGATATGAAATTGTGAACACTTCTGTTCAGTTCTTGACATATATTTTTCATATTTCAATGAAGAGAAGTTCACTAGAAATTTTCTCCTTTTTGGTCATTTGAATCTTTGCAGTGGGCTACTGGATTTTGGACCTTTTGGTACCCTGGTGGAAAGTGAAGAAAAGTTCGCTCCAAATCTGTGGACTGCTGTATTTTGGACCTTTTGGTACCCTGGTGGATCAAGAAGTGACTCAATTTTTTATTCAGTCACTTTCTGGAACATGTTTTGTTTATTTGATAATGTCTTTCCACTACCATTTTTATGAGTTCCTGGTGCATGCAAAAAATGAAATTAATAATTAGCTTATTATCTGGAGATTCTTGTGAGTTCGTTCTGATTTTTTTTATTCAACCTGTATTTTAGTACACAACAAGGGGGATTATATGAGCCAATTGAAGCTGTTGTGGTTCCAAGGAGACTCTGAAATTAGGTGTTTGGCTTTCAGAATGTTAAATAGGCAATTCTGAAACCTGCCAGCTGGATAGCATGATTATAGTTGTACTTAATCCTAGATTTGTGACACAATGCTTTTCTCTGTTGCCTGCGTGGATTGCACACAATTCATCAACCATCACGCCAGCAGCTGTTGATTGTACCTGTCAGCAGACTAATTGTGTAACTAATGGATCACATATATAGGTAAGAGCAGTATTTGTCTACTGTCACTGCTGGCGTGAAGAGCAGTATAGGTAAGAGCAGGCTGCAGTCGCCTGGAATTCATACTCTCTTGAAATTCATATATTAACTTAATCATGAACATCAGTTCTATTTATTCACTTTCCAATTTAAATTGTTGTTTGGTTAGTTTTTGAACCTATCTAAGGTGTCGAATGATGAATTACTGGTTTTTGAACCTATCTAGATAAAAAAACGGTCTGTTATGTGAAGAAAAAATATATACTTATGGCTAAAATGATCGATTTTCGTTTGGGATAGATTGATGATTTGAAGCTAGCATTTGAGCTTCAAGCAATTGGTACAAAGTTAAGTTTTTTCTTCAGACCCCAGTAGTGTGACTACCAGATTGGTACAATTTGTCAAAACGAAAACTTCCATCAGTGCCGGCCACCCAATGGAATACTCCATTCCACTTGTAGTAAATTTGTGGTTTAGGCTTACAAAAAAATTACAGCCAGGATTTTTTTTTCTGGACATTTTATTACTTCTTTAAATTTCCCTTGATAATATACATTTTCTTTTGCCAAAACCATCGCACAAATGAACAAAAAGAAGTTGCCACAAATTTATTCTACAAGTCTTGTAGAATGAAAGTGCAGCCACTGGGGTCACATGAAATTTCATGTGTTCAATTTTTGAAAGAAGTGGCCATGATTTTACTCTACAAGTCCTGAATAGTGGAAGTGTAGCCACTGAGTTTATATGAGACTTCAGGAGTTTCTCAGAATTTGGGTATAAACTAATTCTCGACTTGTAACATCCTTCATGGATACTTTAGTTGTGAATCAATAGTTGGCGTCTCCATTTGCTCCTTTGCCCGCCTTAGTCTCAGCCAGTGGCGTTGCAGTGAAGATGACATGAGCAAAGTAACCATATGGGAGCACAAGCGCGAAAAAAAGCTACAGCTTAAATAGTTGTCAGTATAAGCACAAGCGTGACCACTCATGTACTCACTTAGCACAAGTATTACATCTTTCCAAGGACCCAGCACAAGTACCAATCTTTACAAGGACTGAGCACAAGTACCAGCATTCAATTTCTGGTAAAAAATTAAAATACTTTGGATTTCCATTCAAATATATTTTATATAATCTTTTACTGGTAATCTAAATGCTATATTGAAAATGCAATTAAAAATAACACTATTTCCTTGAAATAAAATTACATAAGAATAAATAACTAACTATACCACAAATACGAATAAAAAATTTCCAAGTACGAAAAAATGGATATAGAAAGGAAAATAACAGTTCCACCTCTCATCAAACATAAACTTTAGACATCACCTAACATAATGATAAATGTTTAATTGGAATAAATCATGAATTAAAAACTTATATGAAGTAATTGTGCTTTCAAAACAAACAAGTAGCTTACCTACGCTGTGATCAAAGCAAAAGCTCCAATGACACTAAAAAGGACCAAAGTAGAATAAATGCTTAAGGAGAACCATGAAATTCGTATAAAGTGTACACAAACGAATTACTACATGGTCTTCAACACAAAGCTAAGGTCTTCAACAAAAAGCTAAAAGGTAAATCTATCAGCATATAATAAATAACTCTACCGCTGGTAGAATTGAAAATTTCCAATTAATCTAGAAATTGATAGGAAGGAACAATTACAACTTTACCAGAAGTGTACCAGCTAACTAAAAATATAGTTCCAACTCTGATCTAATATATAAAATAAAGGTACATATTCACTATTGTAAAATAGGAACAAAGTTACACCATCCTTTAACATAATGATAAATGTTGAATTGCAATCAAACTCAATTAAAGAAATTCTATAAAGTTCCTGTGAGCAAGCAACAAGGTGGTGAACCACATGCAACCAAACCCAACCAAAGCAACTAGTACAGGCTGCATTCCAGTTAAGCTAAAATGTAGAATAGCTAGGGCACCAGATGTTTGGGAAATATACTTGCAGCAGATTTTGCACAAAGGGCGTAGAGACATGTGTACTTAAATGAATTTGGAAAAGGCCATAGAGAACAATACTTCCTCTGTTCCAAATTACAAGAAACCATAAGCTATTAATCTTAAACCCAGGGGTGAAATGTCTTCTAATTTGGGAAAATGGTCTTGCAAAATGGCGCGACATGTGTACCTAATGCCCTATTTTTTGCAACCATAAACATTTTAGATCTTGCTAGAATCGATAGAATCACTGCCAAATGGGTTAGATGAGAAACGTTTTACTCGAGAATCACTAGAAATGTTTCTTGTTTGTATGCCCAGCAAGGAGAAACATCTGTTTGCTCGTTTCGCATGATTATGATTTCTTGGCCCTCTTTTGTTTAGCAACCATAATTTTTTAGTTAATTCTTTCTACTGAAACAAGTTAAGTTTTTTATTTAAGTTGTTCGCATAAAAAATCATGATTTTTAAGAATAGTTTTATTATATATTTATTTGTATAAAATATTTTTTAAATTAGAATTCAGTCTTACAACCAAACGGTTTCATGAAGTTATTCTAATTCATAAAGTGAAACTTTTTTTAAGAGAATCTCATGCTGAGCACACCACTTCGCAATGTGTATTTGACAATGAATTCGACGTACTCCACTACTCCCTCCGTCCCAGGAATGTAAATCTCGTTTCCTGAGAATTCAAAGAATTTTACGTTTGACTAAATTTATAGAAGATATTATCTACATTTGAATGTCCATTTAGTTTATTATGAAAATACATTTTGTGATTAATCCAATAATACTTATTAAGATTCATTGACTCCTCGATAAACGAGATTCATGTTTTTTTGTACGGAAGAAATAGGAATAGGCAAAGAGGCCATAGGGGAGGCTATGGTTTAGGGAAAAACGATTGGATGGGACTCGTGCCTGTTTTCGTAAGAAAACTAGTGCACATGAATTAGAAGCAAATAACAACTAAATTAGAAAACTTGTCTGTCGACTATAATTGTTGTCACAAACAACAACTAAATTAGAAGCAAATATATTTATAAAATACAAGAACTTAACAAAGGATATAAAAAAATTGATCAGGTGCTATCACTTTAGTATTAAGGACCGATTGGACAACTTGGAAACAACATTGCCAAATCTAATTAGTGCACCGTGATGACGAATTAACAAGAAATATATTGAGATTATAAAGAAATCTAGAAAGAGATGACGAAATAACAAGAAATATATTGATATTATAAAGAAATGTAGAAAGGAGATGGGACACTTGAATGAAAGTGAAGAAATCTAGAAAGTGATGACGAAATAACAACAAATATATTGAGATTATAAAGAAATATAGAAAGGAGATGGGAACACTTGAATGAAAGTGACTTGTCCAAGTTTGTTTTGAATACTTCCACTTTGCAATTTTTGATTTGAGGACTGAATAAAGACAGTACAAAAGGGCTGCAGATGGAAAGGTCTCGGTGTCTCGCCGTAGGATTCAAGGTATTGTAGAGTTCTTTTGTTAGTTCTACTTTTGTTACAAATATTTGGGTTATTCACTCAATGGTGCAATGCAAACCATCAGCTAAAATGTTTAGTCATAGTTTTCTGTCTAAATCTTTGTAGTTTTATGTTCAGTAGAGACAAGAAAAACCCACTACTCTTTTATACGTTATATAGGGCTTCAATTGGAACCATCTACATTAAAACTCAATAGTTCATGGGCACCAAAAACTGGCAAAAATACAGAGGATTTTTTTTTCGTATGTACTGATGTACAACAAATTTCTCTAATGATTTAAGGAGAAGCATAAAGAACTATGATGGAACATAAACAGAACAAGAACTTAATATCGGTAAGCCAGAGCCACAGCTTCAGTTTGTTGAAAGTCAAGAACAGTAGTGAGAATGCAGACATATCAACACTGCTATGTGCAATTCAGTTTCCTAAAGCACAGGTGCACTCAACATTACACAGGATATAAAAAAGAAAAACAAAAGACTGAAAGACAAATCTATAACCACATAACGAACGATGAGAAGGTATTAAAATCAAAATGCGCAAAGTCAGATCTAGCAGCATACAAGTAAGAAAAACATAAGACTACAAGACAGATCTATGAGCATATAAGAATTAAAGAACAATACCTAAACAAATAAACCAAATATAAAACGGGATGATCTAGAGAGGACTAGCTATGTTAATGAAAATAACTAGCTGTAATGCATCATTGTAGAATCTATTAAAATGGGTAATAAAGCAACATGATTTAGATATTAATGAATATGTTACTGATCTTGAAAAGCTACCAATCTTGCTCTCACATGATCGCGTCTCGCTCTCCTCTTGACAATGAATATGTTACTACCTGCTAATGAATATGTTACTGATCCTGAAAAGCTACCAATGCAGCACTTTGAGCAACAAATAGCAAGTGGTTACTCTTCAAGCGAGGATGACCAGCATAAAAGGTTAGTTTTCTGCTTTCTACGATCCATTAATGCAATTAATGTTGCCTAAACTTGAGCATTTTTTAACTGCGATCCACCGATACTGAAATATAAAACTTTTGCATATTTGGGCAGTTGAGGTGGCAAACAATGTGTTATGTCATTGTCAGTGCCTCAGTGGCATTGTGTTCTCTATCTTAAATAAATGTATTCAAGCCTATTTGGGCAGTGTTAGTAACTTAATGGACCCACAAATAAGTACTAACATTTAAATACTAATATTTGAAACAAAAATTCACAGAATGCATGAGGATACGTTGGTTGCTGGTTTGGAAGAGGACAACAACAATCAATATTATGGCAATAAATCGGATACTGTGGGTGTGAACCGACCAATACAGCAGAATGAGCTTGATGTGGTGGTTGGATACTCCTCTGCTCAACATGGACCATGTAAACCCAGGGGCGGACACAGCGGTGGGGCGGGGGGGCTCAAGCCCCCCCCTACCCATACCGGAGCAGTGGAACCCCTGTGGAGCTTCCATAATTTTTTTAGCAAAGTTCTATAGTGTAGGTGGGGCTGAGACTTAAGATCGAGCAGCAGTGTTGTTCAGCCCCCCCTGAAATATTTCCTTGTAAACCGTAAGTACTTGGCACTATTATGTAAATTTTAGTATTTTACTTTGATACCTCTACTGAATTGATTTGCTTAATGCAATTTTTGTTATCGATGTATCTTTGTAAACCATGTGAAGATAAATGGAACTGTATGGTTTCAAGTTACATCTCTCTTTGATGATGGTTAGTCAATATAGATTTGTTGCATGAAAGTGTGTTGGGAAAAGGTAGAACTATGTATATGTTCTACATTTATAACTGAGTATTCTTATTTGATTGTATCCCTTCAAATATACATAATAGTTACTTTGAGTCAATATCAAACATGCTTGGTCAGTCATGCCATTAAAAAGTTCTTCTTTCTATAATTTCCAGAGATATAGTAAACTTCTTGTTTTTCTTTCTCATTCGTGTACTTCATCAATTTATTATTAATTAAAATTCTGAAGTAAGTACAAATAATTTCATTTCATACGTACCTCATAAGTGGCCACCTATGTACCTAAATTATCAATCTTCACGTAATGTGCAGTCAATCCATGTCCCTAAATTTCATTGCGCTGTACTAGCATTTACTACAGCTCATTTGACCAAAATCTCCTCCCATGAAGGTAATGAATACACTTGAAAAAATTCTTGCATACATTGCTTGCACTTTGCTTTTGGTTTTGGCTATCATTGCTTGCATACACCAGCATTATCCAAATTTCTTTTTCTCTACTTCATATAGAAGACATAGCAGCTCCTCTTTAACTTTGTAGAGAGATTGATGTTGCTCTGACTACATAAATTCAAATTTGTTCCAAGATCTCCTTTTTGGTCATTTGATTTTTTGCAGTGGGCTGCTGGATTTTGGACCTTTTGGTACCTTGGTGGATCAAGAAGTGAGGAGAAGTTTGCCCCAAATCTGTGTATTGCTGGATTTTGGACCTTTTGGTACCCTGGTGGATAAAAAAGTGAAGAGAAGTTCACTCCAAATCTATGGAATGCTGGAATTTGGACCTTTTGGTACCCCCGGCGGATCAAGAAGTGGTCGTGCATTTCTCCATAAGTGACCGTGCATTTCTACTTCTATGGTATTCCTTCTTTGGTATATTTATCTATGTTCTTGATATCACCACAATTGTATAAGTGATTGAGTGCTCTGAACAGAAGCCATTTTTATGAACTCCAAGGGAATGTTGCTGGTTATATTGAGCAGCCTTGTTGCCCTTGTTATTGTCGTGCTAGGTAGTCTAAACCCGGCAAGATCGACACTTAGCGAGGTTCTTCTGAGTGAGGAAGTGACATGTACCCAGAATTGTATACCACAACATTCCAGTTAAAGTGGTAAATTTGCTCTTCTTGAGTGAGGAAGTTATTACACATGTACCCAGAATTGTATTCCACTCCATTCCACTTATAGTAGTAAATTTGGGAGGATGAAGCTGACAAAAAAGGACAACACTCCCAATATAATATGATTTTATAAATGGAACATGTCTCGGATGCTTGGGCATTGATGTACATGTATTTAGGGCCTCTTTAGACAGAGACTTTGTCTAAGATTAAATTCATATAACGCTGCTCCATATGCAACCAGAGTAAAGTTCAAGTAAGGAAAAATCAGTCTACAACGATGTGTAATGCTTTGATCAATCAAGACAAATGCAAAAGGTTGACCATATGGTGATATCCTTGTTGTCAATAACTGGGAAGTTTAATGTACATCATGATGTTGATGATGGAGTTTGCAAGCGATGGATTCACTATAGAATGCAAATCACTGATACAACAGTAAAGCTAATTAGCAGCAACTATGGACAATGTCGATTCCTTGGCAGCAACTATGAACAATGTCAATTCCATAGTAGTAAAATGTAAAAGAACAAATGAATGGAAGAACGGTTGTTTTCATTAATCTCATAAAGGTATTTATATACACGTGAAAGTGTGTGTTTTAACATGTGTCTCTTCATGAATGAATTGACACCCTTTGACTATAGTAACAGCCAAAGGACATGTCGTGTCTCTTCATGAATGAATTGACACCCTTTCACTATAGTAACAGCCAAAGGACATGTCCCTTTGGTGACATGTTTGACTGCCTAATCCCAATCTTATCTCTTGAATGGATTATATCAATTCTTGAAAAGGCGTCTGTTGGTGAAGGTGTCATTTCACAACAATGAGGAAGACTCATCTTGCAACAAAAGTGCTACACATCTTGTCTGCCTACAGAGGACAAGCAACATTTAACACTAGTAAGCTTGGGGCGATTTTTTTGTGCTTGCAAAGATAACAGCCATGCTGTAATAACTTTTGAAAACTGTAACTGTAAAACAGCCATCCATGTAAACCTTCATTACTATAGCCAAAAGGCACAGCACAGAGTTTTTTAGTATTTTATTAGAGCCAAGACATGCCTTCGAAGCATAACAGTACAATGTACAACTAGCCTGCAAAACTTCCCAACCATTCATGTTAAACTTCCAAATGGATTCTTCTCGACCTCCTCACTCGATTTTTTTTTCTCACAATACAAGTTGGGCATCTATTCCGCCATCTTGTAGACTCTGACTGCTTTAACACAATTCTGGTTTCTGCATTGACACAAAAAGACAGAGATGCTGAGTCCGCAAGACTAATGCTTCCATTACAGAACTGTTAGATATTCCTGTTTATAATCAGATGGTTATAAGCAAACTAGCTGGATGAACTAAAGCAAGCACAGATCAAAAGCAGGTTCTCTTACACTGATTATTGATTGCACTACACTTGAAAATCAGGTGAAAGTCAATAGCTGTGAGGATTCAGTGCACTGATTCCACTACACCGGGCAAGCAGTGTCAATGGAAGATCGATAAGTCCTAAGATCTAAAAAACATTGGTGTGAGGATTCGGTGTTTTCATTTGGTGGCATGGTCATGGCTGCTTGTGTCGGAAAAGTAAGGATCATGGCTACTGAAAGGACTCCCAAGGTAATGGCCACATGGGAATGGAACGACAGGACAAGCATCATATTTGGTACATCCATCGAACAAGTACATCCATTGAACAAGTACATAATTTAGAAAGCTGGTAGTTGATGTTCATGGTGTAGTCAAAGAATTGTCGAGAAGAGGTACATCCATTGAACAAGTACATAAACACAAGTAATAGGCCAATAGTCGAGAAGAGGTACATTACTAAAACATGATAACAATTGCACCACCACCTGAATCTATTCTTATTTGGTACAAAAGATTTTTTTTATTGAAAGAACATAAATACTCAGCAACACAGTGCTAGGCATTTATCAAAATAACAGTATCAAGTATCAACTAAATTAAGAAAAACATATATGAGCATTTTTTAGAGAATACATTAGCTTTAATAACTTGAGAAATTAAATTCATATAACCAGGAAAAACAAAACAGGTAAGGGTAATATGGTAAACATAATTATAATCGAGGAAGTAAAATAGGTGCTGCTTTTGTACCAATTGCTTCCATGACCTTCAACAACACTGTTCTTGGAGGGATCTCTATTACCTGCTCATTCGCATGTATCAAGGAAGTGTATATTTGACCCTTAAGCTTCTAGAAGAGATATCACATCAATTTAAATCGCAACTAAAATAGACAAATTGATACATCAAGTTGAACACACACCTTGAAATGTAAACTTTCAGAAGCAATACACGTGAAAATAGGTGGTCCTTTTGCACCATTAGCTTCCATGAGCTTCAATAGCACTGTCCTAGGAGGGATTTCTATTACCTGCCAATTGGTCCAACCCATCGATGTAGACATCAAAACTAGTAAGCTTCCAGAATGGATGCCACATCAACTTATATCATAATGTAGCATGGACAAAACAAAAAGAAAACCATAAGAAAATGCATATAGGAATATAATTGATCAGGAACAAAAACCTTGATGTCATTTTAACATTGTTCATGTATAAACAACCCAAACTTCCAAAGATAAAAATAAATATTTAAAATTAGGATAAAAACTGAGATATCATTACATGTCACTGCTAAGCTGATGGATTACCAAAAAAGTCCTTGCCAAACATCTTCTGACAAATTTTAGATATGTTAGAATAGAGTAATCCACCTGCTAAGGGATGCCTTAATGATCTTTCACATAATTTTAGATAAGTGAGAACAAAGTATATATATTTATTGTGTACAGTATCCTCCAGATCTAGAAGATGAGAAAACCAAAGCTTACTAATAGTTCTAAAACTAATGAGCTGAAAAGGGAAAAGGTTATAGATGCGTATGACACTTTGATGTCACACAAGAAACCTCTGAATAATAGAATATTGATATTATACGCAAAAGTCCACAACTGATTCAATGTACATCCGCTCCATGGTACCAAGTCCACTCTTGTATGGTCATACCTGAGCAAGCATATCTTGGGAACATGAAATGCCGAGATGCTCTTCTTGTCCATCCTTACTGACAAGCTCCATTGCGTCTGACACCTAGGCGTCATTTGCTCTTTGGATTTCAACACCATAAATCTTCTGAAGATGCTTCAACAATGGTAGAAAGGGTATAAAAAAGGGCTGCCTAAATGAAAAGGCATACAACTCATAGTCAAGAAATCAAGAATACATAGAAAATAGGAACATGCAAAGACAAGAAAAACAGAATAAAGAACTCATTCTCGTACTCAATAACACGAGGACTAGCACACACTACAGGAATGAGCCTCAAAATATTTCCGAGTTTCTTTTATCACAAAGGCCAAGGAGTTGTACCAATATTTCAGAGATTCTCTAGGCCAGAAGTATGCTTGAAATTTAGTAAGGTGTATGCTTGGAGATAGTTGACATTTCTCTAGGCCAGGAGAGAGACCTTTATACAAGTAGCGAAAACTGGTTCAATATTTTTAGTTTGATATGTTGTGAAATATATCTTTAGCTATTGTTATCTGTGTGGGTTTCAATCGTTAGTTATTGATATTTGATTGTTTCATTAAAAAGAAGAGTAGGGTGCAAAGATTAATAATTTCATTATTTTTTTTCCAATCAACCTAGGCACAGGAAAATAAAAATCAAACACAAAAATGGATACGCTGTTAGACTCACCAAGGCAAAAACAAAAGCAGCAAAACCATGCATTGGTATGCCTCGTTAGCAGCGGCACATCTAAATATCTAATACAATAACTGTGTTGCTGGTGTCAACTAAATGTCAAAAACAGAGCTGACAGACATCAGCACAACACTCTATCTGTAGACAGATAAGTAGAAATCGAGGAAATCCCCAAATCGAAAATTTCTCAGCAACTGTGTTGCTGGTGTAAAGTAAATGCCGAAAATAGGACTGACAGACATCAGCACAGCACTATCTGTAGCCAGAGAAGTAGAAATCTTGGAAATCCCGAAATCAGAAATTCCTCAGCACTATCCGTTGTAGATGGTCGGTTGACCTGAGGGGCTTGCAGCCCTACTATCTACCCATCATTTATACCAGTAGGGTGAACTATATATTAAAGGCAAGAATGTGAGTGATAGATGGTCTGCACATCCAAATGGCAAAATCACAAATAGCTATTTTACTCATGTAAAGCAAAGAAATTGCGCAACACAAAAGTATAGCAGTTCCAAGTAATATGTCAACATGATTCCACAACAACTTAACATGTATGAGCATTCCAATGCTTGCAAGGAAGAGTGCTGCAAATAAATTGCAAATGGCTTCCACCTTAAAATAAAATAGAAAAGTTCAATTACCCAAGCTAGCAGCAAGCAAAAATCGACAGAGGCCAATTGGTAGAGTTTATTTGTGTGCATATATTAAAAGAACATTAGTAAGTGAGGGAGAAAAAGGGCAGGTACATCTAAAAATGTTCAGCAGGACATCATGTGGAGAAAATATAGTTTAGAGAAAAGGTATCCCCCATAATGAAATTAAATGAAAACTAGTCTAGTCTCAGTTTTTCGCTATGCATACCCAAGACGTGCTTGCCAAACAGTAAAGAGCATATATGACAAGGGAGCACAAGCTATCAGATGGGATCAGAGTCTGTGGGTTGTTAGCTAGGAAGGGAGCATAAGCTAGAATATGTTAAAATAAAAATAAAATGACAGCAAGAAAATAAGGGCTGAAATAGTTGACATTTTGAATGATATAAAACTATATCTCCAGGAGTATGCTTGAAATTTAGTAAGGTGTTATATGCACATGAGGACTAGCACATCATCACATCAGGTTCTCGTAGTAAATAATGTTTACATCAATTAATTTATCTTTTAGATGATTAAGGAATCCTATGTGACTAGATTGACATTATATTTGAAAGGATATAACCATGAAAAGGAAAAGGTTGTCGAAATAAAAAAAGGCATGCAATTCATACAGTTATACAACGAAAATAGGAAGATGTGAAGACAAGACTAACATGCAGATTGTGCAGGTCTAGAGGCATCATTTATGTGTGAGCACAACAGCAGCCTCAAAGCTGAATCCATTCTGTAGAGAACAAACTTTGTTTGTGACAGTTCTTGACTCTGCCCAGATTGTTGCTCCTATCATCACAACCAAATAAATCAAATCACAAATCAGTTAAGAAATGCAAAAACATGAAGGGCAGGCCTGGTGCAAGCGGTAGAGTCTTACCGCCTGTGACCGGAAGGTCCCAGGTTCGAGTGGCGGTCTCCTCGCATTGCACAAGCGAGGGTAAGGCTTGCCACTGACACCCTTCCCTAGACCCCGCACAGAGCGGGAGCTCTCTGCACTGGGTACACCCTTTTTTTAAATGCAAAAACATATAAGGCATATTATGGAAGAAATAGGTTTTCAAAATTAAAGCAAGTGATAATCCATGAATCAAAAGGAGGAAACAAGGAAAGAGAAGCAGGAATCTAGCAGGAAACCTATTCTTTCCCCCTACCCTCCTTGGAGTCGTGGATCATGGTTTGCTTGTTGTTGGACCTGTACAAACTAGTAGTTATCAAAGAAATTCAAGAAAGAGAAGGAAGAAATGAACAGATTTGATAATACATTTGCATAACATTATCTAATAAACTATACAAGGAGTTCAATTGATAATATTCAAGATGGAAAGAAATTAATTTAGATGAAGAATTACAAGTGTACTTGCTAAATAAAATACCAGTTCCAGCTCACACAATATAAACTAAAGATACATAGTCTATGCTAAAAAATAGAATATTCCTAGATGACAAAGTTATATCTTATATTAGCATAACTGTAACCGTTTAATAGACACAATAAATGTTTAAAAGACCTATACAAAATTATTGTGCTTTCAAAGCCGAATAATTAGATTACCTGCACTATCATTAAAAGTGAAAGCTTCTATAACACTGAAAAATTGTAAACTAGACTAAATGCTAACTTTGATTAAAAGTGAAAGCTTCTATAACACTGAAAAATGGAAAGAAGTGTTTAAAATTAAAAGCTTCTATAACACTGAAAAATGGCAAGCTAGACCAAATGCTTACTTGGACAGGTTAATCTGTATAGAAAAATAAGAATAAAGATATACAGGATAATATGATAAAAAACAAATCTAACAGCAGATAAGAACAAAAGCTAGCAGCTGTTGAAAACAGAGGCCTCATTAACATTTGCACTGTAGACATGTAATTAAGTAATCGAACATAACATTCAGCCAAATGTGATATCTAAAACATTTGTTAAAAAAAAGCAAATCAAACTTTTACAAATTGTAATGATGCAGTAAAATACTAGGCAATCCAAATATTATTTTTTTTTAAAAATATGTAAATGTTCATCTTGTAGAAAAAATCAACATTAACCTAAGCAGATCCTAGGATTTCAATCAAGATATATAAAGGAAAAACCGATCAAGAATTTGATCATAAGGAACTAACTTTTTTCTGAGAGTAAGAGCAAAACAATTCAACAGGAAAATTAAATCTGTGAAGAACAAATACCGGATCTGAAGATGTAGACATGAAATCCCAGGTAAAAAATGTGGGGAGGGAGAGGAGCGGCTGCGGGGAGATAGATGAGAGAGGAGCGGCGGAGAGAGAGGAGAGAGAGAGGAGCTACGGCGGGGGGGAGAGAGAGAGAGAGAGAGAGAGAGAGGGAGAGAGAGGAACGGCGACGGGGAGAGAGAGGAGAGAGAGACAAAAAACCGTCGGCACGGAGAGATCAGAGCGAGGAACGGAGCAAGAAGAGAGGAGCGAGGCGTCACGGGAGAGGAAAAGTGAGATCGTACAGACGTCAGATGGTGTGTCAGACTGAAATACAGCGCGTTGGAAAAATCTTTTGGAAAAAATACGCACCGTATACCAACTGTACGAAAAGACATGCACGCATCTCAAAACAAGATCCAATGGACGCGTATGCGGAAAGGGTTACGCACCGTATACCAACTGCATACCAACTGCATGTGCCCCTGGGGCAGAATTTCCGCGTGCATGGCTCACGTTATCAGCCGTGCATGCCTATGCGTATGTGGAAAGGGTTGTCTCATGGGCGCACGTGCACATGCAGCCATGCGCGTTAGCTTCTCATAAGACATGTGCACGTAAGTGCGTGTTTAGTTCCATCCTAAATTCTCAAAAAGTGCTACAGTAGTCATTACATCGAATCTTACGATATATGCATGGAGCATTAAATATAGACGAAAAAAAACTAATTGCACAGTTTGATTGGAAATTGCGAGACGAACATTTTAAGCCTAATTAGTCCATGATTGAACACTAATTACCAAATAAAAACAAAAATGCTATAGTAGTCAAATTCTAAATTTTCCCCCAACTAAACACGCACTAAATGTTAGTAGCCGGGTAGCCTAGTAGCTCCTCCTAGTCTCTCCTTCTTCTTTTCTCTCTCCTAGTCTCTCCTCGCCGTGTTTAGTTCCAAAAAGTTTCTTAAAAATGCTTAGCCATCACATCGAATCTTGCGATACGTGCAAGAAACATTAAATATAGACAAAAATAACTAATTACACAGTTTAGTTGAAAATCACGAGAGAAACATTTTGAGCCTAATTAATCCATAATTAAACACTAATTGTTAAATAAAAACAAAAGTACTACGATACCAAATTCTTAAATTTCGTGAAACTAAACACACCCTCATTTGTATCTCTCTCTTTCTCTCCGGTGCTCGACTGCTGGGTAAGCCGTTCGGCTTGGCGGCTCATGTGCACGTGAATGTTAGTAGCTGGTAGCCTAGTAGCTCCAAGTCTATCCTTCTTTTCTCTCTCCCAGTCTCTTTTCCTCGTGCTGCGTTTAGTTTCTAAAAAAAATTTCCAAAAAATGTTACATTAGTCGTCACATCAAATCTTGCTATACGTGTATGGAGCATTAAATATAGACGAAAAAAAAACTAATTGCACAATTTGATTGGAAATCGCGAGACGAATGTTTTGAGCCTAATTAGTCCATAATTGAATACTAATTTTCAAATAAAAATAAAAATGTTACAGTAGCCAAATTACTAAATTTCGTGAACTAAACGCACCT